AAAGTAATAATGAAATTGAGGCGTACCTCTGTAAACTTGAGGTTAACAAATTAAGAATTGCACTAGCACGATTTAGATGTTCCTCTCATAACCTGTAAACAGAGAATGGTAGATATAATCACACTGATAGAAGAGACAGAATATGCACGTTGTGTAACACAAATTCAATTGAAGATGAGTTTCACTTTCTCCTGGTATGTCAAGCTTACAAACATTTACGTGATGAATATTTGCCATCTTTCTACTCTGTACGCCCGAATGTCCATAAGTTTGTAGATCTTTTAACTTCATCTAATGATACTGTGTTATGTAACCTGTCAACATATGTTAATCACGCGATGTCACATAGAAACGGAATTGCTAGTTAACAACCACGTCACCTACATGTAAATACGCATTGTACTATAGGCCTGTGGTCTTTTAAGTACTGAATAAAACTGATTGACTAGTAAGATTTAGTTTGGAAGCCACTGTGTGAAAGAATTTTATGTTGGCGCTGGGGGTGTTTTGTTTGAGTATATATGCTAGTAATATTGTAAGGTTGTTTAGGGTTTTGAATCCTGTCTGATTTGGTGTTTTATAGTTATATTTTTGGAGGGTTTTTAAGAAGACTTTCGATGTGTCGATGGGTCATATTCTGTTGTGAGTGAGTCTTCTACGCGTATGGTTTGGGTTGAGGTGGCAATGCTGGTTTGTTGTGTGTTTTTTTGTTGTGTCGAGGGTTGCTGTTGTGTTTGTTTGTCGGTGATGGTGCATTTGGAGGCTGCGGTGTTTGGCTGTTGTGCTTGTTTGGGTCTGGTAGTTGTTGCCCTAGTGGCTGTGGTATTTTGGGTGGTCGGTCTGGGTATGCTGCATGCTCTGCGGCTTGTTTTGCCTGCGGGTGTAGATGTTGTGGTGTCTGGTGAACTCTGACGTTGGAGATCTCCTGGATGTTGGTGGGTTGGATGGGTGAAGGTTATTTCGGTGGGTATGTCCCAAACAGATTTTATGTTTTTTAGATGTTGTGTGTGTTGTTGTGTTGGTTTAGGTAGTGGTATGATATTTGTCTGTGGTGTGGGGAGAAGTGGTTTGGACGTGCGTGGTGCTGGTTTTCTTGTTTGTAGTGTTGTAGATGTCTATGTGTTTGTTTTCCTGTTGTGTGAGGGTGTATCTGTGGGGTCAGTGATTTGACAGTGAGGTGTGAGTTATAGTTTTGCAGTGTATGCACCACTATAGGCCAAGGCGCATGATCCTGGAGAGAGTGGTTGGGCGCATTTTTTGCATGTTGTTATTTTAGACGTACATTGGGAGGTTGTGTGGTTATACTTTAGGCATTTAGTACATTGTTTGACTGGTTTTATATCAGGTTTAACTTCTAATTTCTTTGGGGCGCCGAAAGAGATAGTTTCTGGACCTTTTGGATTTTTTTCTGATTTTATGAAATTGATGATTACGGTTGGTGTGGGGTGAGATTTTCCATTCCTAGTTGTGTATATTCTGCGGGTACTGACAATTTTGGGTTGTATGTTGTCACTGGAGTTAGCCTCTTTGGTGTATAGTGTGAGGTCCTCATCCGTGTCTCTATGGCTGACTCCTATGACACCTCGGGTAAATGTTTGCCAGTATGGGATTTCGGTTGTGGCGTTTACTTCAAAGATTTGTCTTATTTGTTGGGCTGATCTAAAAGTCGGACCGGGCCGAGCCAACGTTATTTTGGGCTAATTACTCCACAATCAACGACCATACCAAGATGTTAATAATGCAACATACACACATGATATTAATGAATAATCAAAAACAATAAATGTGGAACATAGTTAAATTATTCTGAGTAAATCATTGGAAATCAGGAAGTCGAGCGGTCAGTGAGCGTGGCTGAGTTAGGTTACATGTAAAAGAGGAGTCGTTAAACGAAATAGGATCTGAAACGAACCCACTTCTTCCAACTACAGTGATACAAATTTCCATCTGTCAGACATGGATGTATCTAACTATACGCAACAACAAAAGTTCCTGTGAAACTAAATATTTTAGTGTATTTTAGTAAAGTTTGGTTTTCAATATTGTAGTACATGTATGGAATCAAGTCACAAAAACGCAACTGCTACAGAAAAGCATGCATTCCATGTTGACAAGTTGACTTTTATGCAAGCCCCATGCATTTCACTACCCAAGAATGGGTATAAAAACATGTGCGATAACGGGATTCCATATGCATTGTTTAGCATCGTGCTGACAACAACCACTCAGAAAAACAACAAAATTACCCAATTATTCAACATTACGAAATGCCACGCCTTTCCGAAAATGAGCGTCTGCGAGCCATTGGTATGCTTGAAGCAGGATCGAGTCAACGTGATGTTGCAAGACAATTTAACGTCCACAGAAACACCTTTTGGTGTTTATGGCAACATTGGCAACAGACAAATGCAGTCAGCGGCCATCCTCGGAGTGGCAGGCCACGCGTAACCAATAATCGACAAGACAACTGGATTCGAACAACACACCTACGAAATCGATTCCAGCCAGCAACAGTGACTGCAAGGAGCATCCCTGGCCTTCGACGAATATCTTCACAAACCGTACGCCGTCGCCTTAGATGTCGCAGAAGACCCGCCAGACGTCCCATTTTGACAGAAAACCACCGTCAAGCACGTCTACAGTGGTGCAGACAGCGTCTACGCTGGAGGGCCATGCAGTGGGGACAAGTTTTATTCTCTGACGAATCTCGTTTTCACCTCAGCCACAGCGATGGACGGATTCGTGTGTACCGACGTCGAGGTGAACGTTACGTCAATCATTGTGTCATGGAATAAGATATGATTTGTTTTAGTTGCCCAGGAAGTTCTGTTTAGGCAATCCAATCCATACAGCATCAGATCTTTGATTCGGTAGTCGGCCATTATTCATAGTGACTAGTTTAGCCCAATATTTTACACATTGGCCAGGGCTGTCAAAATCAACTTTTAACACACAGATGCATCATCAAATGTGTTTACATGTATAGATTAGTATTACATGTATATCTACCTATATACCTCTTTATAGTGTCTCAGATCGCTGTACTTAAAGAAAACAAGGGGCTCAAAGTCAAGCCCTTTTCCCTCTACATTCTCAACATAGTCTCTATCAGAAGTGTTTGGCTTGTGTTGACAAAGATAAGCAGGGATGGGAGCACAACTTGTTTGTTCAAACATTTAGTTGGTTCGTGGACTGGATCACCGGTGGGGCAGGATACGTTCACCCTTTCGCGAACACTTGCTGTGATCACTATTTGACAGTGATTCATTAACAGATGCTCATGATATTGTCACAATCGTAAAATCGACTCAGACTTTGGCAGAGATTTCGTATGGAGTTTGAAAGAGTGAGTGAGTTAAAATTTTAAGTCACATTGGCAATATTTCAGCCATATCGTGACTAGCAATAGTTAAACATAATACATATGTTGAAATTTATGTAAAAAACCTGACAACGAAGGACAGTAAAATAACTAGACATATCACAGAAATATATTTTAAAACTAGTATGGAATCATAAAACTTCAGCTTCCTTCAGCTTACATCATCCCTTCAGGTGTTGGCGATTATTAACATACTTAGCCATATTAAAATAACATATATTCTACGATTCAAGACAATTATGATAAGAACAAATCTACTTTTAATGACGTGGTCTTACATACCCTCTCCAGGGGACAATCATTTTACATTACTTCAACCCCCTTCGAGGATACAGCCACTAACAATCTCAGTTATTGTATTTATCCTGCCAATCATAAAAAGTATATTATATACACAACATATTAATCAAAATTTATGGTACAATTCAATTTCTTTTAAAAAAACAATAACTAAATGAGAACTGATATTAAAAGGATCCTTAATAGATGAAACATTGAAATAAGTATCCCTTGTGATGGCAAAGGAGTTAGAAAGAGTATTTGTTACATTTATTTACTGGTTACATGGTGTGGGTTCATGGTTTATTAGCTCACCGAACGTAAACGATTTTTTTTAAACGTCTTCTTCTTCTGAACCACTTATTGGAAATTAACGAAATTTGACTGGAAGCATCCCGATGTGGTGGATTTTCAAAATTGTACAAATGGTGGGGCTGACCCCTCAAGGGGCTGAGGGGCGGGGCCAAATAGGGGTAATTTGGCTATATTGCTTTAAGCGACTTCTTCTCTGGCACTAAGAAATAGATATCAACCATATTTGGTTTGAAGCATTCTCCATTGGTGAGGTTTCACAATTGTACAAATGGTTGTACAAATGGTTGTACAAACGGTGACCCCCAAGGGGTTGTTTATATTTCATGTTTGTTATGTATTGGTTATAATACAATGGCCGATGTTCTGATGACTCCCTCCAAACACAGTACATGTATAACACAATAGTTTTCTTGTTTTGCTTGTAATTCCAAGATTGTATGACATGGGTACCAACGCTAAGGACGTGACAACAGCTTTTAAAGCGTGTGTTAACAAACTGACCATACTCAATGCTGAACTTTCTAAAAAAAACTGTCGAAATCTGATGCTAAAGTTATATCGTTTATTGTGAGCCCTGTTAATATCCGTAAGAAATAAACGACACGTGGTCGTTGTTTATCTTACACTATCACCACAGGGAGAATAAGCAATGAGGGGCGTTTATTTCACATAGGACATATCAACATTATGCACAACCTCCGGGCTTTCCTCCCACATTAAGCTGACACGCTGTGATTTAACTGGAATACTATTAAAAGCTCACTCACTCACTTACTCACTCTAAAACCCACAATATACTGCCGCCATGATCAATGCCACTATTATTTAGAAACAAGCCAAACTATGTTAGTTGTATAACACTAGGGTGAAGGTAACATTTGATTTGTAATTGGATACAATTAATTAGTAGTTGAAGCATAGTTTCCGATCGGACACAGTTTATTTTCGCTGACGAATAATGGTTATATTTGAAGTTCAAAATTGTTAAGATGACAAACAAGCCACTAAAAGCAATGAGTGTTTAATATGACATCTGTGTGGTAGCCGTGTTTAAGATCTGCAATATCAATACTAATATTTAATGTTCTCTTGACATGTAGTCTTTGAAAGTTCTAAATTTTCAGATCAGCGGAGAGAAGTGTTGACCAAACGAGGAACACACAACAACACAAACGAATTTTTCAAGGTAATAACTTTCAAAAAATATCGAAACTTTAGTTTATGTCGTGTCGGTTAATGTTGTTGATTTGTCTGAAATTGATTAGTTTGCACAATTAAATCAACATTGACTCATTTAGACGTTTCTATTCTCGTGTGAATCAAGTTTCGAAGTGAGGAATCCTTTGTTCTCTCAGCCAACATTTGTAATCTTTGGAAAAACAAGTCCTTGGCATACTGATACAGCATGACATCAAACCTGTTTATAAAAAGTATTTTATCACGTTGCACATTGGACACAACGGACCTGCCACTCCATGTGTCACTGGTTGGAACATCCTTAAATGTTTTGACGAATTTCATGTTGAAGGTATTCTCAAACAAGATCTGTGATAATTCTTGATGACCTGTCAAACCAAAGAAAGCCATGTTCCGTAAGTTCTCTTTTGCACTTGCCAGCATGAGATAGTGCCTTTCATCGTACGTGAGACCGGAGGTATTGTAACAACCAACAATGCGCAGGTTGGCTAACATCCGGGTTTGTCTGTTAATTCCGAGATTTGATGCACAGCTCATGAAGTCATGAAGGGAGACGTTTCTCCAGTTCTTGCGAAAGCATGGAGGAAGTTCCACCTTTGTGGCAGCATGACCATTGCAAATAAGTAGAGTACCTATCCATGTTGCTCCCCTATCGCTCACTTGTCTCCATTCACTGAGGAACCTTCGGAGGGGGTCTCTCACCATGGTAACGTACAGATGTCTGAAAACAAAACAATACAATACAATACCCTTAGGTCAAACAATGTCTGTGATTACTGCATTACGACCCGTGAAGATCCGGGGTAGAATAGGCCTTCAGCAACCCATGCTTGCCATAAAAGTCGACAATGCTTGTCGTAAGAGGCGACTAACGGGATCGGGTGGTCCGGCTCGCTGACTTGGTTGATGCATGTCATCGATACCAATTGCGTGAGACCCGTGAAGGTCTTCAGCAACCCATGCTTGCCCGTAAAGGGTGACTATGCTTGTCGTAAAAGGCGACTAACGGGATCGGGTGGTAAGGCTCGCTGACTTGGTTGATGCATGTCATCAATCCCAATTGCGTGGATCGATGCTCGTGATATTAATCATTGGATTGTCTGGTCCAGACTCGTTTATTTACAGACCGCCGTCATATAGCTGGAATATTGCTGAGTGCGGCGTTAAACAACAAACCAGCCGAGTCGCCTTTTACGGCAATCATGGGTTGCTGAAGACCTAATCTACCCCGGATTACAGGGCAATAAGAAGTTTAACATCCATAACTATGTTTAGAAATCATTATAAGAACCTTGATATCTTGCTCTACTGTCATCATTGTTTAAGACATACGTCTTTCCAGACGGTGGTCGCGTCATGCTTAAATACCTGAAGATGTGGTGCTTGTTGGAACACAGCCTAGCGTTCGGTGTAAGGGATAAAAAGGGACTGGCTCGCTGATAGTCACTTCAATTAGTTTGAGTGCTGTATACATGTTAAACTGTGGCATGGTATCTTAGGCTGGGGCCATTTGGGAGGGAAATAAGGTTAAACCTCACCTAACCCTACCTCATTTTACTTGAAAACTTCAGCTCTTTAAAGATATATCCACTTCCTGTATGGGGGCGGTCGGGTAGCCTTGTGGTTAAAGCGTTCGCTCGTCACGCCGAAGACTTCCCGACATGGGTACAATGTGTGAAGCCCATTTCTGGTGTCCCCCGCCGTGATATTGCTGGAATATTGCTAAAAGCGGCGTAAAACCATACTCACTCACTCACTCACTTCCTGTGTGTATATTGTACCATGGTTTTGGGAAATACCTGATTCTGAGATATTATTAATTGAAAAAAATATTCTTTCTCAGCCGTTGTTTTGGGCATTTTGAATTAATTGTCTGAAGGTGACAAGATGCAGAATTTGGGATAGCGGCTCTATTGAAAGTATAGAATTTATATTTAAACACTTTAGACAACAGGACGTAAAAAAACAAAAAACAAATATGATCTTGCTTTACTTTCATCATTGCGTAAACGATAGAGCGTCTGTCAGGTCCATGGTTCGATACCATGGTCGCGCTGTAACAAACAAGGGCGGTCGGTTCAATGTCTGAAGCCCATTTCTAATCCCCCCCCCTCCCCCCCCCCCCCCCCCCCCCCCTCCCCCCCCCCCGCAGTGATATTGCTGGAATATTGCTAAAAGCGGCGTAAAACTATATTCACTCAACATAACAAACGGCGTTATAATAAAGTCTTTATCTCGATATTTAGGGATAAAACTAGGACTGGGCAGCTCAGAGCAGGTATAATGGGCTAGTGTGCGGTATCGATGTTAAACTGTGGTAGAGTTAATTTTATTTACTGTATCTCAGTGGGTTAGCCGATTTGGAATATACTGGATTCTGATTGATCAATCAGTTAACAAATCACAAAAACGACCTCTGCTAAGAACAGCCGATCACAGCGGAAGATAAAATAAATAGAAAACTTGTTCTTTCTCATTGTCGTTAGGCGTATTAAAAAAAACTATAGGTTATAAAAGCATATTTGCGTTTATCACTTCAATCATATTAAATTTGAAAGAAAATAAATAGACTAGAATCGACGGAGAGAGCTTCATATATGGCACTTTCTATAGCCGAATGTGACGTCACAATGAACGGTGTGACGTCATATTGGTGAATAAAGCGACAAAACCCTTTCCATATCCAATAGAAATCTCTGTTAAAAGCAGTTTACGATTCCGACTTTATCATGAATCAGTATCAAACAGTGATGACTCCAGGTGTTCGCGTAAAGGTAAGCACATCCTGTCCTACAGGAGGCACCCATCACAAACACATGCAAAGGCGAGTCAACTGTTCACCTGAAAAAAACCACAGGAACATACGACCCAAGTCAAAACAAGGAATTGCATCGGGCATCAGCTTTGTCACTGATGCGTGAACACAGAAATGCTCCCCAACATGTCTACCACAAAACTCGCAAACGACACCAACCTGTGCTTAACTTGTCCGCCAGCATACTTCTTTATCACACCATCTACACATTCATGTAGATAAGTCCAGTCTGCATGGATTCTGCATGGCCAACTGTTTCTTTTAATTTTGAAGAGAACGCTGAAATTCCATTTCTTCTGACAATTACATTCACTTAATAAGGTTTTATTACACTGACACCAAGTTGTAAAATTCAAGCCATGCCCCAAATGACTCGCAAATGTAGTACTTCCGGTTTTCTGTATGCGTAGGAACACAATGAGATCGCTTCCAGTTGCACTGACGTTGAAATTTCGGATCAAATCCTGGTTTAGGAAATTATGCCTTGTAAGCTTTCCTAAGGTGTATGCTTCGTAATCGTCCATGATGCGGACGCTGTGGACTTGATGCATCTTTACAGAGCTAATAACAGATGCGGGAGAAAGGCAGATGTCAAAAGACATAAACAAAGTATATGTGACGACAAGTGTCGTCGTCAATGTTAACGTTGAAATGAACATCGACGTCGGTAACTTCATCTTCGTTAGAGGTTTTCTACCTCGTGAAAACGTTCTGACTAAATTGCCCAGCAATATTTAAGCGGTGAAATATCGACCCGTGTATGAAACATATTCAGTCACGTGTAACCCCATAAACCCTGGCCTAAATAAATTCGCCTGTAGCCTAAATAAACAAGTTTATGAAATCCAATTTAACATTCAACTACTTGAGCATATTTATTTACCAATAAACCATACCCAGAAGCAAACGCTAGACTATCACAAAGCGGTAAAAAAAAATGTTTAGGCCGAATAATTCCGAGTACAAAGGGACGAATGTAACACAATTAGCATGAAGACTAAGTAAATTTGCATGGAACGTAAATAAACAAGGTTATGATGTCTAGTTTAACATTCTACTACTTGAGCCTGTTTAATAACTGATAAACCATGTCCAGTTTATGCGAAGTTTATCATTGCCAGCGTTAAGAGCCGTTGTAAATCCCGAAAGTTCACGATCACGGCTATGGTATAGTATATATAGCCTGTGTATGTTTGACTGATTTAATGTCATGTAAATACGTGAATGGGATATGCATGAGTGATTGCATTTTGATTTAGTTTTAATGTTGTATTATGTGACATCATCTGTTATTTTAAAATATTTTAATGCGGTATTTTAAGGGGAATTTAGGCTGGATTCTGCTCACCCTCTGAAATGTTACTCGAAGTAATTGTAACTGCATTTGAACAGCATCTTAATTAATTACCTTTTCTACTTTTTCTTGTTTTTGTTCTTGGCCTCCTTCTTCGGTACAAAGAACTAACGGGAAGGTCCGATCCAGAACCAGCAGAGACTGGTCCTCTACATCTCGATGACGAAATAAAAACTGCTCAATCTCCTTGAACTTTTGTGTCGATCTTACTTTGTTAGACTTTATGTGATACTATTGTCTATTGCAATGTCGTCTTGTTTGTGAAAAATGTAAATTGTAAACAAGTTGCACCAGTAAAACCTACTGACAGTCTGTAGGAAAGACAAAATTCCTTGATTGCCGTCACAGAGATGGATCATACTGATATTCTACATATTACTTTTGGTTTTTACTGTACACCATAAAGGACATTTTTGAGCTCTCTGTGCCCTACATACAAATGGAATCTATATTGTACAATAGGCTGAGGCCTGCTGTATTTGATACAGTACTACTTGAACAGGCACCCACGTTCAGATGACGCCAAACAATATATGAATCGGAAGCTAAACTAGAATGTAATTAATGCCACAGCTGTTATGTTAATATAATCAAATAACTCGTATGCTGGTCAGCTATTGTGACATGAAATGTGTCATCATAAATGTCACTTAAGTAGTTTCATTATTGGAAAGAAAATATTGAAAAATATTTATTTACCTTAATCCATCATGTTGCTTTCACCTTTTATTGGTGGGATTTCACCAATTATCCTTGACAAACATTTCTCTATTTCAAAAGGAAAATGAGAATCTACGTATCGCTGATATTTACATTGATTTGGGATTTGTTGTCAATCCTGAGTGAGATTCTATATCAAATAGTATCGACAGAAAATACAAGGATGTGTAATTAAACCCCTGTAACAGGTTCAGGAACCAAGATGGTGATGATATCAATGCTTCACGACAGGTTTCATTTACAAAACAATTCGTCCATCATAACATTTAATTGGCAAAGGCGTGACAGGAGTCTGCATCTAGGGATACAAGTCAAGGACACCGTGTCTCGTCTGACAGTGGAGTGAGGTTAAAGGTTCTTTGCTTACTGTTTTGGGGGGAATGGCCTTGGCAGTGTAGGCGGTGTCTGCTGGACACTTTGATCTGGCAGCAAAGTCGGTTGGCACCATACGACTATCCACGGAGTATAGTGGAAGTATGCGATGTCTCTTCTCCAGTAGGGGGCATGGGTGGCCCAGTCGTCTAAGGCGCCGCGATTCGCTGTGCAGAGTTGCGTCCCTTAGGCACGCTAGAAACCTATGATTGTGGGTTCGAATCTCGGTTCCTGCATCACTTCGGGCTTACCTCCACATTGAGCTGACACGCCGTGATATGCCTGGAATACTGTTAAAAGTGGCGTTAAACCCAACTCACTCACTCACTCTTCTCCAGTGCTGACCGTGGTATATACACTCAGCAGATCATACCGAGTTGGTCCAGTACAGTACGTAGATGTGACCCTCATATCTAAATTTTCATTTCCGTCATGCCTAAAATTTAAACGAACACACTTGTGATACCTGACATTTACGTGTACATCACTTTGACTGATATTTACATGAGTAATCGCTTTGATATCTGACATTAACGCAAACACACCTTTGATACCAGACAGTAACAAGAACACACCTGTGATAGCTGACATTTACATGTACACACCTGTAATACCTGACATGTACTCGCACATACCTGTGATACCTGACATTTACCTGTACACACCTGTGATACCTGACATTTATGCGTACACACCCGTGATACCAGACATTTACTTGAACAAACCTGTGATACGTGACATTTCTGTGCACACACCTGTAATACCTGGCATTTACTTGTACATACCTGTGATACCTGACATTTACGTGTACATACCTGTGATACCTGACATTTACGTGTACATACCGGTGATACCTGACATTTACTTATACACACCTGTGATACGTGACATTTACGTGTACACACCTGTGATACCAGGAATTTACTTGTACATACCTGTGATACCTGACATTTATTCGTACACACCTGTGATATATGACATTTACATGTACACACCTGTTATATCTGACATTTACGTGTACATACCTCTGATACCTGACATTTACTTATACATACCTGTGATACCTGACATTTACTTGTACACACCTGTGATACGTGACATTCACGTATACATACCTGTGATACCTGACATTTACGTGTCAGACCTGTGATATCTGACATTTACTTATACATAACTGTGATACCTGACATTTACGTGTACAAACCTGTGATACCCGACACTTACGTGTACATACCTGTGATACCTGACATTTACTTATACACACCTGTGATACGTGACATTTACGTGTACACACCTGTGATATATGACATTTACGTGTACATACCTGTAATATCTGACATTTACGTGTCAGACCTGTGATATCTGACATTTACTTGTACACCACCTGTGATACCTGACATTCACATGTACATACCTGTGATACCCGACATTTATTTGTACACACCTGTGATACCAGGAATTTACGTGTACATACATGTGATACCTGACATTTATTCGTACACACCTGTGATATATGACATTTACATGTACACACCTGTTATATCTGACATTTACGTGTACATACCTGTGATACCAGACATTTACTTGTACACACCTGTAATACGTGACATTCACGTGTACATACCTGTGATACCTGACATTTACGTGTCAGACCTGTGATATCTGACATTTACTTATACATACCTGTTATACCTGACATTTACGTGTACACACCTGTGATACGTGACATTTACGTGTACACACCTGTGATACCTGACATTTACGTGTACATACCTGTAATATCTGACATTTACGTGTCAAACCTGTGATATCTGACATTTACTTGTACACCACCTGTGATACCTGACATTCACATGTACATACCTGTGATACCCGACATTTATTTGTACACACCTGTGATACCAGGAATTTACGTGTACATACATGTGATACCTGACATTTATTCGTACACACCTGTGATATATGACATTTACATGTACACACCTGTTATATCTGACATTTACGTGCACATACCTCTGATACCTGACATTTACTTATACATACCTGTGATACCTGACATTTACTTGTACACACCTGTGATACGTGACATTCACGTGTACATACCTGTCATACCTGACATTTACGTGTCAGACCTGTGATATCTGACATTTACTTATACATACCTGTGATACCTGACATTTACGTGTACATACCTGTGATACCTGACATTTACTTATACACACCTGTGATACGTGACATTTACGTGTACACACCTGTGATACCTGACATTTACGTGTACATACCTGTAATATCTGACATTTACGTGTCAGACCTGTGATATCTGACATTTACGTGTCAGACCTGTGATACCTGACATTTACTTGTACACCACCTGTGATACCTGACATCTACTTGTACACACCTGTGATACCTGACATTTACGTGTACACACCTGTGATACGTGACATTTACATGTACACACCTTTGATACCTGACATTTACTTGTACATACCTGTGATACCTGACATTCACGTGTACACACCTGTGATACCTGAAATCTACTTGTACACACCTGTGATACCTGACATTTACGTGTACACACCTGTGATACGTGACATTTACATGTACACACCTTTGATACCTGACATTTACTTGTACATACCTGTGATACCTGACATTCACGTGTACACACCTGTGATACCTGAAATCTACTTGTACACACCTGTGATACCTGACATTTACGTGTACACACCTGTGATACGTGACATTGACATGTACACACCTTTGATACCTGACATTTACTTGTACATACCTGTGATACCTGACATTCACGTGTACACACCTGTGATACCTGACATCTACTTGTACACACCTGTGATACCTGACATTTACATGTACACACCTGTGATACGTGACATTTACGTGTACACACCTTTGATACCTGACATTTACTTGTACATACCTGTGATACGTGACATTTACATGTACACACCTGTGATACGTGACATTTACATGTACACACCTGTGATACGTGACATTTACATGTACACACCTGTGATACGTGACATTTACGTGTACACACCTGTGATACCTGACATTTACATGTACACACCTGTGATACGTGACATTTACGTGTAC